TTTAATCTCTGCAAAGAGAGCCGCTCTCCCCTCGAAGAGGCGCATGGTACTTAGGCAGCGATTCACAACCACGTTCATAATCCACTGAACATGGACTTGCCATGGCAGGTGGGTGACCATATATATGGTTCACGTCACTCTCCTGCCAGCGGATGGCACATGGGCACGCTGCCAGTAGCAAAACGCGTCCCAAACCACTGAACATGAACTATGTCAAGTGGGCAACCGTATGGTCGCTCACTTGGGTACTCTGCCAGTGCCAGTGCCAGTGGTCCCAGCTCCCGAAAACGGCCCAAACGAGGCGCCGCCGCGGGCGCGTGGCTCCGCGGCGTCTTGGGCGTCGAGGCGCGGCTGCTGCGCCGCGCCGCCGGGTGCCGCCGGGCGGCCGCGGGTCGGCACTGGCGCCTTGGACGCGCGTTCGGTGGAGTTCGGCGGTGGGCGGAGGGCGAAACAGGATCATATAGGTGTCCTTTTTAGATTTGCTAGAAATAGATGGGTTCCACTGGTTTAGATGGGTTTTTGTCCGTTTACCAGGGCCATCTGTTTTTTCCCAAAATGCCACCTTTGAACAGGACCCGCAAACACAGACGGGCTGACTCTGTTTTGGGTAGGTTTTTTAAAATGCCCTTGATTGAGGCAACTGGCAAAGCTGCGAAGCATGGATTTCGGAGCTCCTTTGGGTGGCCCTTGACAATACTGACACACACACACACACACACCCATCCCCTTTCTGCCAAACTGCCCACAATGAAGTGCAATATATGGCCAATGGTGCCTTCGAGCGTTGGTAGACTGCAAAGTGAACTCCTTGCCCAGGACTACTGACGAGTTGCTTAGTGTGCCCAGCATCCAGGTAGTTTGTAGCGTATTCTTGGTGAAGAAAGGTCTGTACGCAGGCGCCTTGCATTCACAGGGTTCGGTGTCCTTTCGTCCGTGCGATCCACCTATGTTCCACCGCGAGGTTTTGGGACGGACATTTTGACCCTCAAGTTTTGTTGCAAGTATAGGACTGATAGGGATTGATCTTCATTATTTCACTTTCACCTTAAACTTGCAGAGCAATGCCAGAGATCCCATTCACAAGAATGGGTTTCAACTCCCCCTGAAATTGATGCGGGCTTCACGCCACAAAGAGTTCAGATACGCATGGCAGCTTCGCAGCTGAGCATTGCGCCATGCAGGTTGTTTTTTTTCCTCATGGGGTCTTGGAACTACGACCTGTGTTGTGGTCCCCTTTCTGAAGGGTAAGGGCAGCAGCCGTGAGGGTGCCGAAAACCACAGCCAGTTTGGGTTCTCGCGAAGGGAAACATCATGTTTGAGGTTTGAGAATCCAAGGTGGGCCGCGCGTGTTGTTTGTTCGCACCTTTTGTTTACTTGTCACCGATCCATTCTACGGCGTATCCAGTCCAACAAACATCGAGGTCGCAAGCGGCCAATTGGCAACCAACGACCTTTTGGCGAGGGTATCAACAGGAGCTGAGTCACAATCAAAACCTGGTACCAAATCGTGAACCTACAACCATGTAAAGAGTCACCAAGGCGGCTGCACCCATTACTGGTTGGGACTGTCCCTTACTAACCTTCAACTGTTTGGGTTTTGAGCAAAGTGGCTCAGCTGGAAAGAAGCCAGCGGCCAGGGCGGACATTGCGCCGCTTCTGGTCATCTCCAGTGCGTCCCTAGCTGCGCTCAGCCAGAGCGCTGGCTTTGCCATCCCCATGGCCGGGCGAGTGCCGGTCGATGCTGCGCTCGTTGGTCTCCCTAAGGATGCTGGGGCTTCTTATGGACCCAGGGCCCTCGTTGCGGGGCCTTTGGATCCTTAGGGTGCCCGAATCCCGAAGCAAATCGATCTATCCCGTTGATTTGGTTTTCCACATTTCCATATTGAGTCAAGGTTCTGAACCGTTCGCCTGACATTTCCAGGTCGTTTGGTAATTGAGTTATCGAAGTCAGGTGGGCTCATGTTCCTTAGACCTACCTCTTTGGGTAGGGTGCTTGTGCTTGGCTGACATGTTCCTTGCTTTTCCAAAAGGGCCTTCCTCTGGTGAGCTCTATTGCAGGATTCGTGAAGCAACGGATCTGTGCAGCTGCATCAACTGTGCACTCACATCTGCTTTTTTGTCGGTGTCAAGCAAAACTCACCGGCGAATGATGTTTTCCCTCGGGATTCCGTACTTCCGGTGGGTGAACTATAGTGGCTAGCGCAGATCAATGCCAGGATCGCTTCAGGCCCAACATCGTCCTGGACGGTGCGGACGCTCATGCAGAAGACTCGTGGAGTGAGATACGACATGGCGCCTCGGTTGAGAAGCCTGAGGAGCTTGCGGAAACCTGTGCATTGACTAGGGAGATTGGTATCACACCCTAGAGATGACCCGGAGAAGGTCAAGCACAAGGTGATCTTCGGAAGATGCACGGAGTGAGTAGTTATGTTCAATGGGTGCAAAGCGTCATTCAAGCAAGCTTCCGCTGGAACATGCAACACGCACGCGTACGAGGGCCAACCCTTTGCACCAGATACCCACAGAAATCTCAACATAGCCCGGAAGTAAGTGGGTGGCTCGTCTTTTGGTTAGAGTTGATACCCATGTTTTGGTGGTTTCCAAGGGAAACCAAAAGGACCCACTTATCTTTTTGGGGGGTCCAACCTTAAAGACGAGCCAGCCGGGCTTGAAATGAAGGGAGGATCGAACAGAACGGTTTGGCAGGTGCCTTTGCGTTCAACCCTAAAAAGCCCTTGTTCAAGAGGCTTCCCAATCAGGTTTGAACCCTTTGTACAAGCCAAATCCAGTCGCTTCAAGAAGTTAGAAGTTAGAAGAGCACCATTGGGCTTGTCTGCCTCTTTGCTACCTCTGGATTGCCTCTTTGTTGGTTGGATCTTCAAAATCAAGCAAACAATGTAAGCACCAAGTGGGTATGTGATAAGATAGGCTCCCCCCACCTGGTCTTCCTCTTGCTTTTCCCCCTAAGAAGCTGCACCCTCAAAACACCCAAAAGGGTATGTTGTTTTTTTTCTTTTCGAAAAAACCCACACATTCTGGGGTTCTCCCTCTTCATTTTGTTTTTGTTTTTTTGCTCCAGCCACAACCAAAACCAGCACCAAGTCCCAAAGCCCAACGAGCGCGGCGCGCGGCTCCCACGGGGGCGATGGGGCGATGCAAGGCCCCGTGACGCTGAAGCGCCTGGGGCCCTGCGGCCGCTGCTCCATCGTGGAAGTGGCCCAGTCCGTGGGTCGGCGCGGGGCGCTCAGACCGGCCAGGGGGGGCCGTGTGCCAGAACTTTTTTTTTAAACAAAAGAACGCACTTGTAGGAGTAGAATCCTAGTAGTAATTATGGTAGCTGTTTGGCCCCTGAGACTAGTTGTGTGTTGTTGTTGAGGATACCGTTTTCAGAGGTTAAGAGGGGACAAGAACCTAACCCATTTTGGGGATCCAGTTCCTCTTTGCGCACAGGTCTCACATATGCGGATGGCCAACGCAGCCCAGGATTTTTTTGGGGGGCGCCCCCTTTTGGTCGGGGGCCCCCATCACTGGAGGGAACAGTTTTCTCTGAATGTCAGGGGTTTGTTTCTCCGGGCAGGTGCCGGCCCTGATTCGCAAGCGAGGCGACAGCATGTCGGTCTACGGTGCCTTGGTGGCCTACCGCGGGGAGGCAGTGTTCGGCCAGCCCCTTGGCTTCCCGTACCGGCGCTACCAAAATTGGCTGAAACCATAAGGAAGCCAGCAAAAGGTCAACTGTAATTATGCACCGCCAGGTTCGCGTTTGGACTTCCTTGAGATAGTATTAAGGGGTAATTACAAGGAAACCATAAGGAAACCATAAGGAAACCATGAGGAAACCATAAGGAAACCATACGCAAACCTGTGTGCACCGCCAGGTTCCCCTAAAAGACCCCCTTGAGAGAGTATTAAGGGGTTTTTCAGTTTGAGGTTCAATCGTTGGCGGACTATCTTCTGAAAAGGGTCAAAAGGAAGACAGTTCTGACACTGGCTTTCTGCGATGCCCTGTTTTTTCACACAAACATTGCCTGGGGCAAACAGAAGCTCTTGAAGACCTTGCAATTGTGGCGCCCAATTCCTCTCTTGCTCTCTCTCCGATCTCTGACTATGTTCTTTGTTTTGCTCTCTCTCCCTCTTTCTCTCTCTTTCCCTCTTTGTCTCTTATCTTCTTGTCTTCCTGTCTTGCTGTCTTCCTGTCTTTCTGCCTTTCTGTTTTTGTCTTTTTTCTTGGTTTATTTCTTTCTTTCTTTTTTTTGCTTGTCTTTCCTTCGCATGATCTTTTCTTTGTTTTTATTTTCTTTTCTTCTTTCGGTTTGTCCCTCCCCTCCCCTCCCCTCGCTCCGCTCCCCTCCCCTCGCTCCCCTCCCTCGCTCGCTCGCTCGCTCGCTCGCTTGCTCTGTCTTTTGCCTGCAGCAATAGGTCTGTAGCCAGGCACCCCAATCCTCGGGTAGCGCGCGTTTCCCAAACTCAAATGGCTGTGGGTCAACACCAATGGTATCCCATTTTGGGGTAGGTGCACCACGCATTTTAGAACCTATTTTAGTGGGGATTGGGATGCTCACTGGGGGTACGGGGTTTTGACCCATAGCCAAATCCCCTTCGGAATGTGTTTGAAAGAAAACCACACGGGCGCTGATCCCTTCTTCCTTTCTTTTTGCGGAGTCCCCTTTTGACACGCCCAACTTTCCAGGTACTACGCGCCGGTGCTTTCTGGGGAGAGGACGTTGGAGGTTGGGGCGCAGCTGGAGGTGCTGTGAGGGAGAAAAGTGAGCGCCGGCAGCGGGCCAACGCGAAGTTCATAGTTTCCCTGGTGGGAGCCCCCAGCCATCCGGTTCCAGAAAGTTTCGGTGGTTTTGTGGGTAGTGGTAGTTTCCGAATTTAACCCACAAGCGAGTCACGTTTAGAAAAAAGCCTTTCGGGCAGCCCAGTTTCTTCAGCCGCCAACGCCTTGAACCCACGGCGCTCCAAGAGCTCGCATCAGTTTCGCTGACTCGATGACTGAGGCGGGTCACCAGAGGCTGCAGGCGTGGCTGCGCAGCGAGTGCTCCGCCGCCCGCAGCATCTCTTGCGCCAAGCTGGGACTGCCGGAGGCGCCTCGGCACCCACCGATGGCATTCCTGAGATCAGAGTTGCGGCTCATGCAAATGGAAGCTTGCTTTGGTTAAAGTGTTCCACTGGTTTTCTCTTTGGTTCCCTTTCAGAGTAGCCTGGAAAGGGCACCCTCTGAAAAATTGGCACATGTCTCTGACCTTGCTACCATTTAATCGCATTTATCCAGATGTTATCAACGGCTTGACCATCCCCTATCAACCGTAGAAACAAAGCCTCCAGGATGCTGATCCCGCAGCCATCCGCGAGGCTGGGTGTTTCTAGGAAGAAACCCCCCAGCATACCAAGACGGGCCGAAGCTTTGGACATCATGGGGCTGGGGTTTGCCCAGAAGGTATGTGAAGATGTTCTTGGGGAGTGCTTTGCATGTTGCATTCAAAGCGTGTGCTGCTTTGAGTATGGGGCTGGATGGGCCACCAGCGTGCAGAGGTGCACAGAAGGGTGGAAAGCTGACGCCTCCACCGCCCATGTGAGAAGACAACATGTGGGTGTCTGTTTTTTTTAAAGAGGACCCCCCCCCCCCCCCGAAAATGGTGTTTCCTGTTGGTTTTAGTTTAGAACAACCAGGGGAACCCGCTTGAATTCGCCAGAGGTCTTTTTTCTACCCTCCCCCTAGCCAGGATCTTTTGGATTCCGAGCCCGGAGCGGATCAGCGGGGCGGCCTTTATCACCCCTTGCTTTGGGTGTTGAATAGTGCTCATGAATATGAGGTCAGGATGAAGGCAGGGCAATACAACAAAGTGCCGTCGTATCCAAAACGGGTTGCAGCTTGGCGACCAATCTGCAAGACGCCTGGCTCCTGGGGGGCAACTTCCCTTTTCCGCGCCCCGGTGCCTAGCGGGGCCAGGCGTACCTCCGCTTGGTGCGCACGGTGCATCCGGACAGCCCCCTGCGGCTCAGCGAGGGCTATGACGAGCCCGGCGGCTCAGCGGTGTGCAGCTGGAAACGTCGGAGTCCTTTTTTGGAAAAAGAGGAAGCCACCCAGGCATTTTGGAGGGTAACCTGTTTTGAGACATACCTAGGGTGGACCAAACGGCAAAGCCTGTGCGGTTGGCGCAGCACGCTTGCTGAGCCAGAAATGCGCGTTCCCCTGCAGACCAGAAAAGGATGGATCATTTCTCGACATTTGCCAGGTCCAATGTAGCCTCAACATGGAAACCCCCCTAACCCACCCGTGTTCAGTGACACTGTGGATGGACGACATCCGGCACCACCTCGAAGGATGATCCCCCTGTAACCCACCAACACGCGTTATGGGTTTCAACCGTGAGAACGGATTTCGTTTGTCCACAGTATCTCCAGTTTTTCGTATTTTCTGGGGAGCCCATGGTTTCACCTGCAAATGTCTCCCCCTCTTTAGGTTTTCGCCCTGGGTTCCCCCCTGCTTCCTTGCCTGTTCCGCGCGAGCGGAACGTCTGTGTCAGGTTCTCCGCGCTGCACGCGGCTCTGGCCTGTTGCACTTGTCCGAAAGAAGTCCAGGTGGCCCTTTTGTCACCCCAAAAAAGGACACATGGCTGCGGGTCAAACTAAAACACCAGAGGACCGCAGGTTTTAGTCCCTGGTTCCATTTACCAGGGCTCTATTTTCGGTACCTATTTTTGACCCACAGCCACATTTATATAGAGGGGTGAGGCATGGTGCTTTCCACCAACCCAGTTTAACCGGGTCTTTGGAAGGTTGGTGTCTTTCCAGATACTCTGTAGGCAGAAAAGTCTTTGGAGCAATATTGGGATCCAAGCTGTTCCTTTGGACCTTCGCAAGCTGGTCCTTTGCCTGGCATGAATCGTCAGTCACACGGTTGCGCAAAAGAGGCCGTCAATTGAGGTGTTGGTTGTACCAGCCGAGCAGCACAGTAATTGGGAAGACTGGCTTCTTGATTGTAGCCCATTGAAAGCACTTGTAGAGCTTGTAGCAAACAAAGAAGAGTCGACGGCTTTGTCTAGCTATTGCTCAGCAAGGAATGAGAAATGGAATGACACCATCCCTCCGATTTGGTTTCTTTTATTCCATTTCTCATTCCATTTCGGTTTGGAATAAATCCGATTCTCATTCCGAAATCTTTTTTTTTTGAGGATGAATAAAATATTATTTTCATCCGATTTGAATCCTCAAAATCGGTTCATTCCATCTCTCATGCCCTCGCCGATCGCAAGTTGAGGGTCTCTGCCAGGAGGCGTACCGCCACCTCACCAAAGATCAGGGCCAAGGCAATCAGAGCAACCCCCGGCACCAGGCCGGCCGTCCGGTTCGGAGGTCGGAAGTCCGAGACGTCGAAAGGAAGGCGCGGGGGGCGTCTCAAAATTGGAGTCGGAACCTTGTTTGGACTGTTTTTTGATGGAAACCAAAAGGAGACCACCTACCTGGAGACGCTCAAGATGCTGATTTTGGTTTTTCTTTGGGTTTCCCTTCAAAACCACAGAAAAAGGGGCTACCTCAAGGAAGGACACATCCACATTCTTCCCTCCAGCTTTTGTTCCTGAAGATCATTTGACCCTTGGAGGCTGAACCGTGTTCAGGAACGACCAACTCCTGAGTGATGCGATAATTTGGAAGACAGAGGGGTAGACTATGAAGTCGTCTGCAAAGAAGGGCTGGTGTGCGAGCAAGAGGGCTCTATGTGCCAAGTACTGACTTGTTGTGCAACAACTCGAATGTGGGTTTCATGTTCGCCGTTTAGCCGCACTGCAATACGTCCAGTGACACTGGAGCCCTTGAAAGAGTCCAGGCGGGACGACCTGTTGTCAGGATACGCGTCAAGTTGTTTTTGTTTCCCAGGATGTACGAAAAGGATGCTCAAGTGTCAGGAAGGCTCTTGGAGTTGGAATATCTCATTCCTTGTGCCATAGTCAAGCACAGCGTTCTTTTGGCCTTGGCGAAGGACTCGATGCAAAGGCGCCCCTCAAAGTGGGTGTGTTTTTTGGAGGGACCCCCTTTTTGGTGAGGTTACAAGGGAAACCAAAGGGACACCACCCATGTTTTTGGGGGGTCCAAATCTCTATTTTGACACATACGCAAGTGCAGGAGCGCTTGATGCTGCAATGGGATTCTCAAGAGCCTGGCTTCGAGAGTGAGGCGCAGATGTTCAAGCATCTTGGCCAGAGGAATGGCGAGGAGTTTTTCATCTCCCGCTACCTTCCCCCTACTTTCCCCTTTCCCCAACACAGGTAAGGCATGGTACCTCAGGGTTTTTGGGGGGCTTCCCGAGACAAGGGGAGGCAAGGGGAAAGCAGGGGGAAGGGGAGGTAAGGGTCCAATCATGTTTTGAGGGGACTTGCACAGGCAAATTCAGTCGCCACTTCACAAAGGATGCCTGCGACCTCGACCCCATAAAGCTCTTGGGGGTGGCTGAATTTCTTGAGGTTGGCTTTTTGAGTTCAGCAGGAAAGGGAAAAGGAGACATGCACACACTTGGCTCATTCTGATGCCCCGCGTGGTCAGTCACCCCCGGTTTTGCCGGTTACAGCACCCGAATTTGCTTCCGTTTTTGTTTCATTTTGGGGTCCCCTTTGTTTTCAAAAACACACCAGCATAGACCCCAGATAGCACCTCAAGCAACACCCCAAATCATGGTCCCACAGCATGCCCCCCAGCATCTTGCTGTGAATCTCGCAAAGCACACCTAGCCGTCACTAAGCCTCCCCAAATCACCGTTCCGCCGTCAATCTGGCAAAGACGCTCGTGCGACCCCAGCCCCCAAGAACAGCCCCTGCAAAACCCCAAACTGACCCCGAACAGCGCCCCCCCAACAGCACTCCCAGAGCACCTGGTCGCACCGTCGCCAGCACTTCAATCCCAGAACAGCACCTGCGACAGCACCCCGGACTGCATGCCCCTAGTACCCAGTCGTCAGTCTCGCAAATCACTTTTCGCTCTTTATTAGAAGTTAGAACCCCTATAGCTTTCAGCTATCTGGGGAAATATAGTTGTTGGCTGGGGTAAGTGATTTTGCTCCAAGTTTCTGCATCGGGTGACTTGTTCTTGTCCTTGTCCTTGTCCTTGTCCTCGTGGTGGTACTGAAATTGGTAGTGGTAGTGCAGGTGGTGGGCGATTTTTCTTCACCAACATTAGATACATTTGATTGTGGCAAGAGCCCCAACTCGCGCTTGGAAGTTGCGTGGACGGAGTTCAGAGAGACAAGGAGGGCCTTTTGTCCAGCTGCTAGGGCGTTTGTTTTTGGGGTGATCCCAGTGGAGAACTCTGAGAGCTGGGGTTGCTCTCAGTCTCTCAGTCAGTATTGGAGTCGGCCCTTTGAAACCTTTGTGCCAAATTTCATTGAGGTCTCGGCTGCTCACAGTTGTGGGAGAGCTGGATGCTCAGATGCCCCGCTTCCAACAGGAAGCCGTTCTTGGTACCCTCCCACCGACTAACATGGAAGTGCACAGACCCCTGTGCAAAGACAACTTTCCTCTTGAAAAGGGGCTTGGTGCTTCCATGTTAGTTGGCGGGAGGGTACCATTTGGTGCCGCACAAAAGTTGTTTGACCTCTGTTTTTGTTCTGTTCATCGTGGGGGTGCATTTGCGGAAGCAGCGGTCAACCTCGCAAGTCCAGACGCTGAAGTTTGCTTAGTGACCTTTGCCTGCCTGCCTGCCCGGCCCAGGTTCGGCGACAAAGGTTTGCCGTTGTCCTCCTTGCGAAAGAAGTACGCGCAGGCCGGTCAGGATGAGCTTGTCAAAACCAGGCCCTCCAAATGTCAGTCCGGTGTCAGATATTCTTTATCCCAGCGCCTCCAGTCACCAGTAGAGCAAGTAAGTAGGGGAAGCAATCATGCAACTAGAGGTAAGATACCGGAGGGTCATTTGCTCTTGTGGCGAGTCGCCAAAGGGAATGTTCAATCAAACTCGAACCCAGGATATTTTGGAAGCAACCATAGGGCAGAGATGCAGAGACCCTCCTAATTGCCATGCCAGGAAGTTAGGAAGCTGCATCCCTTTGGCTGGAACACATAAAACTATTTGTGCGTGATTCATTTGTCTGAAGATGCTATCCCTGGGCAACTGTTCGTTTCCTTGCATCCAACTCCCTTGAGCGGCCAGCTGCCAGGTTTGGTCTGGCGCCGTGCTGCTGGCTTGTTAAAGCATCAGCACGCCAAGGTTCAACCAAGTTGTTCTTGCGTATGTCTTTTTTGGGGTCAACATCATGGCAGCTTTCCGGCAGCTTTCCGGCTTTCGGGGACTACTTTCCGTTGACATGGGAAAGGCAAAATGGTGGGCTGCTGGTTGCGCCGCCAATATGACGCCCAACGGAAATACGTCACTGACAATATTGGTAGTTTAACCGATTGTTTGGAGACTGGCGTTTTGCTCAAAGAAACAGCACCTCCCAATTGTCCCACGGCCAGGTGGTTCTTCCTGTTTGATAGAGAGTTCCGTTATATCCCTTTGAACCATCACCATGTTGGAACCAAAGTCGTTCCCGTTCGCGGGGGTTCCAGGCGCTGCCTGCGCCCACCAGCTTTGGTCTGCGCAAGGGCTGTGGCTTGCTAGAGTCCAGCGACCCAGAGAAGGTTTCAGCTTGGTTTCGCGCTGTTTTGTTTGTGTGCTTTGTTTGTGTTGTTTGCTTTGTTTTGTTTTGATTTGCATGTTGTTCATTTTGTTTTGTCTGTATGTTTCGGCTGTTTCGTTTTGCTGATGTATTTTGTGTGCTTTCCTGTCTCCTTGCTTGGTTGTTTGCACGTTTGTTCTTTTGTTTGCTTGTTTGTATTTTTGCTGGCTGGCTGGCTGGTTGGTTGGTTGAATTTGCGTGCTTGTTGTTTGTTTGTTTGTTTGTTTGTTTGTTTGTTTGTTCGTTTGTTTGTTCCTTTGTTTGTTTGTTTGTTTGTTGTTTGTTTGTTTGATTGTTTGTTGGTTTGTTGTTTGTTTGTTTGTTTGTTTTGTTTGTTTGTTTGTTTGTTTGTTTGTTTGTCGGTTGGTTGGTTGGTTTGTTTGTTGTTGTTTGTTTGCTTGTGTGTTTGTTTGATTGTTTTGTTTTGTTTGTTTGTTTGTTGGTTGATTGGTTGGTTTGTTTGTTGTTTGTTTGCTTGTGTGTTTTTTTTGTTTTGTTTTGTTTTGTGTTTTGTTTGTTTGTTTGTTTGTTTGCTTGCTTGTTTGTTTGTTTGTTTGTTTGTTTTGCGTTTTGAGGGTTCCACACCAACCAACCCAGAATCGTCGGGGTTTCTCATTTGCAAAACTCATTTTGCCTCTTTATGTGGGATTGTTAGAGGATGAAAACTCTCAGGATGTTTTCCAAGGCCAATGACAAGGGCATGCTCAAAGTTCATGTCAGATTTCCGTGCGTGTGGCTGAGTTTGAGACAAACTCAGAGGGTAATCAATTTTTGGGATTAGACGTTGGTGTTTAACTGGAAGGGCCGGCATGGCTTCAGAAGATGTTCTACCCTTTGGTTTCCAACCAACCAGCAGAATGGCTACATTTCAGATTGCGTCTATTTTGTGATTTGAATTGGTGGTTTGGTGGTTCAGGAGGGGTTTCCCCTTAAGCTACAAAAGCCAGGAGTTCAAACCACCAATCCAAGCCATCAATCCAAACCTGTTGGTCCAAGAATCTCCATGTCCGGTGTCAGCTGATTTGGTCCCCAAATGTCATTGGACAACTTCAGAGACTTCGTGTTTCGCGCCAAGCCTTTTGGGACTTTTTGTCGTTTGAAGCCTTGGCGGTGCAAAAGATGGTTGCAATGGCTGGTCTTCGGTGTGTTCTTGGTCCCTTAGCTGGAAGCAACTTTGCAAAAGTGGCACACGTGTGAGTGACTGGTTCGTGTTTGGACGGGGTCTTGAAGTGTGAGACTTTGGGAAGAATCGGCGAGTCTGCGTGTTCTGGGAGCTTGCGTTCGACAACCAGCAGACCACGATACTGGGCATTTCAGAGGATTGAATTGCTCGCAAAGGAGCTGGGCCGAAGCGGAACCAAAACGCCACCATGCTTTCTAGCGCGTTGCCATCTTCAAGATGCCCAATACGTGGCGTTGAAGCGTAGCTGGCGTCCGCCTTTCTTGCGAAAGCTGTGTGGCCGGCTGAAGCAGACGTAGGGGGCCGCGACATGAAGTGCTAGTGCAGCTGCATTGGCGTGGAGGTTGTCGAAGGGTTCCGCAAGACAAGCGCGGAGCCGAGCCTCCAGTACAACGCGGATCCGGCGCAGAGGGGTTGCGGAAAAAGCGGGTGGCAAGGTTTGCTTCGCGCGCTGTCTGCCCCGGGCGCCCCAATGCCGAGGGTCCAAGATGAGATGCAGTTTCTTGATCTTTGCGGAAGGTCGCAGAGCAGAAAGCTCTCGCAAAAAGTGTTGGCAATGTTTCCGGACTGGGTAAGCCTCTACAAATCATCGCAAGGCGCGTTGGGCAAACAGCAGCAGAGTTGTGACACTTGGTTTCCGTACGATCCGACGGCCTCGAGGATGCTGCGCCACGTGGCGGGCGACGTGCTGCGCGTGGAGATGCACGCGCGCGGCCAGGCCGGCAAAGGGCCGGCGCAGCCGCTGGGACGGGGAGATGTGGCGCCCGGTTCGGAGCTGACATTGCGAGAAAAACCAGCTCTTGTCTTCTCACGGCTTCGGTAGGTTGAGTCGGGGTTCCCCAGTAATTTTTTCCTGCGGTTTGGGGACGCCTAGAGCCGCAGCATGAATCGCCAGGGTTTCCCTCCGCGACTTGCGCGCAGCTCATGGAGATGACTCGCTTCTGTGCGCTGAGTGACACTTGTTGTTTTGCAAGCGTGGGTGTGCCGGCCTTTCCTTGGGTGCATTTTGCTTGGATGTTAGGACTTTAACTTTTTGCCAACTAATGGGGTTTCCATGAAACCACTAAAAGTTAAACTTTTAGCAGGGGAGCAGAAAGCAACACCGAGTTTCTGTGTGTTCATCAGACTTGTTTCACAGCGCTTCCCTGTGCAAACTGTTTTATGCCCAAAGCTGCTGGCAGAGCGGCTGCCGAGGCTGCTGAAACCACTTCTGGGCACAACATGCAGGCGACAACCTCGCGTGTTTTGGGGGGAAATGGGGCCCGTTTGGATGGGAAACCAAAGGAAAACCAACGGTTCCAGGCTTGCCAAGATAAACCTATTTGGTCCACCAAGGGGTTGTCATGAAAAACATAGGGACACGCCCCTCATTTTGGGGGGAATTATTAGTGGCCGCTGCTTTGGCAGGACCCTGTGCTGCACGCAGACAGCACGGAGTCAAAAGCTGTCAGCTGGGTTTGCCTGAGATAGGCCAGAGAACGGTAGACGACGGCTGATTTGGGGACAATCCCGATGGTTGTGACTCAGGGAAGCCAAAGCTAAACCTCAAAAAACACCTCCCCACATCGGTTTTTCGCCGAGTTGTGAGTATAGGAGTCGGCCAGGCTGCTTTGAAGTCTTCACGAAAGGTTTGTGGGTGTATGCCCGAAATCTTGCAAGTGAGCAAGTGGGACACCCTATGGTTTAGCTTTGGTGGCTCCCAGCCATCCCCTTAGCTTTCTAGCCCTTTAGTGTTTAGTGGTAGTTTTCATTTGACCCACTAAGAGTTAAACTTGTAGCCGGGGGATTTGAGGGCAGCCCAGGTTTGTGGTTTTACTTGCGATTGAGTGGGCATCCGCCGTACCTTGAAAGCTGGAAACGCCATTCTATTTATCCAGGTTTATGATCCCCGGGATTTTGGGCCAATCAACTAGGTATCGCTTAAGTACAGAATGCCCACGTGCCCCTTGAAGCGTTGCTGCCGCCCGGCATGTCACTCACGCGGCGTTCGGGATCAGTCGCATGCAAAGACGCATGCACACACACACAAACACACAGGCGCTCAATTGTCGACCACAAGCGATACCGTACTCAGCCGGGTACGACCGAATCGGCAGAAAACCATCGGGGTTGGTTAGGCTTTGATGCGTCACGTTGCAAGACCGGCATATTTTTTCAGCACGCGGCGAGCAACGTTCAGAAGGACGGGACCTTGATCTCGAGTCAGAATCTCGAGAGCCATGCCCTTCGAAGGTCGGGCAGCTGAAGCCTTAGCTGGTGCCAGGAAAGCCTTTCGGTGAGTTTTTCGTCTCCCTTTGTACCTTTAGACATGTATTGGTTTGTTTTCTTACTGGTCGGCCTGGAGGTGTTGGAGCATTTCCAGCTTGAGTGTTTGGCCAGAGTTCTTTAGATTTCCCGCCGTTTTCTCGGGTCAGGGCGCAGCTGGTGCCTGCGAAGCAAGGAAGTTTGCTGAGGATCTCATGAAACTGCTGCGCAGCGGCGAGGTTGACGAGGATTTACGTTGCGCGATGTGGGAGAACTCCCGCCAGGTGAAACGGATATGGACATCGGAACTTTTAGTAGGGACCCTTGGGTGGATGATCAAAGACATGGGCATTTATGAATTCCCACCAAGATTAGAGCAGGACAAAGACACCAATGATAGCCTAGTACCGATTTCGTTTAAGCCGCCTTTTTCCATTCAGGTTGATCGCAAGTAAGCTACTATCGGATTGCCCAAGCAACTTTTTGCTAAGATTGCGTGTCTGGAACATGAAACTTCAGCCCAGCTCTCTTGCATCAAGTGAGTCCCTTTACTTTCAAAGGCCACAGGATCAAATTTTGCGGCCAGATGTTCGGTTCACATTTGAAGTCGCCCCCAAGCTCCCTGTTGATCGCTGGTCAGGAGGATCTTCTGGAATGCTTGAGGGACGGTGTGCGCGGCCGCGATCCTCTTGAGGACGAGACATGTTATGAAGATTGGTGCAGTGTCCAAGTCAAAAAGGGCGACGAAAACCGTGTGGCACCTGCAAGCCCTCCTCCCGCTGGCTGGGAACCCCAGAACTCCGCCCAAGAAATCCTGACTTCGCCAACAGGCCGCGGGAGTGCGACTAAAAACTTTGTGTTTCGGTTCGCGGAACCCAACTGTTCGCGGAACTGTTTTCGATGTTTGTTTGAAGGTCAAGGTGGCAGACGGGGGTGTTCAGCCAGCAACCCCCTACCAAGATTGTGTCATCCATGTCGGGTGTTGGGTGTGTCGAGATAGGCGCCGCCTTTTTTGGCATGGTTTGGAGTTGGCCAGGGTTGCGGTTGTGCAGAAAGAGGTTGCTGTTCAGGACAAGGCGGATCATGCAGCGCATCAGAAGGACAAAGACTGGCGCCAGCCTCGTGGGAGGATCGTTTCCATAGGGCCGATGTAGCTCCAAACCACCGAGCTCCGGGGAGAAAATGGGTGCGGAACCCACATGGTCTGAATCCATCACATTTCCTACAACCGGGGATGGTTGTTTCGGGGATGTGGACATCTGTTTTGCATTGAGGTGTGTCACATTGTCAAACAAGTTTCGGTCTTTCCTATGGCTTGGAAGATTTGCAGTGAGGTATCTCTTAGTGGGTCACACAAGTCACACAAATTACGGTCTTTCCTATAGCTTGGAAGATGTGCCTTAGGTGGTGGTTCCAAGCCACCCATCCAAACCATCCTTTTTGAGGGAAGCCGATACAGTCGAAGTTTGCGAGTCCGGATTTCCGCAGGTGGACTCCGCTGCATTGGGCGGCGCAGGAGCGCCTGTTGGATGTTCGGGCGACTTGCCGACTTGACTCGGCGGCGTGTTTCATGTTTAGTCATCTTAGATTTCTGGTTGTTCGGGCCACACTCTGTTTTTGGAAGTTCAGTTCAGTATGATATGCAAGCTTTGCCTTTTGACCCTTTTTGGGAGATGAAAGAGAAATGTTTCTTCACTCAAACAGGGCGTCGTTCTAGTTTCGAGACGCAACCTAATGGTTGGGACCGTTTTCCCTTGTGAAGGTGGGGCCAGACCTGTTGATGGGGTCGCCATGTGATTGTGTGCTATTCATGCTGGCAAGTTTCTCAAGGCTGGTGCTTGTCCAGATTGTGTGCCATTTGGAGTGGTCAGACATTGCAGCAGAAGATGCTTCCAGATTTTGCCAGACGCCGCTTGGAAAACCACTTCTGATCTTTGCATTCTTCTCCGCTAAAATTCCCAACCGATGCGTGCGTTTGTGCCTGTGCAAGTGCCCCTGTGCATTATTTGTAAGGCATTTGGGGCTGCAAGGGCGGGAAGAGGGGAGAGCCCAGACAAAGGTCTTATTAAGGGCTTTTAAGGCCTTATTAGGCCCTCTCCCTCCCCCCCAAGGTCCTGATGACCCATCTCCACGTGTCTTTGCAAAGTATTGCACAGAAGTCTCCAGCTCCTTCAGAAAGGTTCCTATTCGAATCACGGTCGCACATCTTGTGCTCGCCCAATGTGGCTTATGTTTTTCATGGTGCCCTCTTGGGTTGTTTCAAACAAGAACCAAACGGACACCAAATGGGATAGACTTGCCGGTTCTCAGTAACAAATGTGACCAGCGGACACGTTTTCAGGGATGATACAATCAAGTGATGATCCTGATAAAATTCCGGGGGTGATCGAAAGGTCCAAAAAGTACCAGGGATATTATGAGAAATGATTTGTCTTGGTGGTTCTCAGCAGGCAATGAGAAATGGAATGACCCCCCACAACCTATTGCCTATGGTTTCCTTTAAAGGAATCCCCAAAACCGGTTCATTCCCAGCACTCGGACTCGGTCATGTTCGCGCCAGCAAAGCACCGATTTGTCCAATGGTCTGTGGGCAAGGTACCCCAGGCCATGCGCCGCTTTTCTTGTCCCTGGTATCATCCGATCGGTTTTTTTTGGCTTGGACACATCTTGGGGTGGCCAACTCTTGGACCAATTTGGGGTTTCTCATTTTGTAGACGTCCTGGAGTTCGGGGCCGAAGGCGAAATCCGCCAGCCGCCGATTTTGGACACACCAGGGTGTCAGAGTTTCGGCCGCCGCCGATTTTTTTTTGTAGTGGTTGGCTGGCTGATTCCAAGGACCCGCCCTATCATGTTGTACACAGTCCTCCAGTAGTGCCCTTCTCTCCCCTTCTTTGGGGGGAGGGTTCCCCTACTAAAATAGACTACAGAAAGAAGAAACGGTACCAACTTATTCTAACCTCTCTACTGGGGTTGCCAACTCTTTGACCATTTTGGGGTACCCATTTGGCTGTGGGTCAAAACCTCGTACCCCCAGTGAACATCCCAATCCCCCGTATAGGTTCTAAAATGGGTGGTGAATTCACCAATCCCAACCAATTTGTTGATCAACCATAACGGTTTTGACCGCCATTTTGGGCACTCAAATCTAGACCTAGTAAAACTGACCACTTTGGGTTTTCCCATTTTGGACCCACCGCCCTTTTGGCAACTTTGGGGTTACCAGCCCTTCGGCACCGACCGAAAATCTTTCCAGGATGGCCACGAGCGCTTGGCGGAGAAGCTGCTGGCCTTGCGCGTGAGCACGGAACCTCAGGGAGTTTCCGGCCGGCGGGTTCGGAAGGGGTCCGTCCGTTTTTTTTTAATTCTGTGTTTTTCCTTTTTGTTCTTCCTTTTTTTGTTTCTCCTTGTTTTAAGTATTTTTTACTTGGCTTGCTTAGGGCAGAATGGGTTGTGGTGTGGTTTGATCACTCGGAGCTTATCCAAGCTTGGAATCCCCTTTGTTTATTGGGGGGGAGAGGTCTTTTATAGAAAACCGCTTCTGTGATACTTTTGGGAATCCCCTCTGGCGGGAGAATGTCTTTGGGAGGCCCTTTTGTTGCATCACAGTGGATTCCATTTCCCACGGTGCTTCTAGAAGCATTACGAGCCCCACGCCGTTTGATTGATTCATTGCCCCCCCACCCCCCCCCCCCCCCAAAAAAAAACAACAACCAATGCTCGTACGTTAGATTGATTCCTTGCCCTCCCCCCCCCCCCCCTCAAAAAAAAAAAGCTCGTGCGTTAGATTGATTGATTCATTGCCCCCCCCCCCCCGCTCCCCCCTCCCCCCCTGCCCCCCCAGAGGGTTCGCCGGGGACAAGACAAAGTCGCACGGCGCCACAGCGAGAGCGCTTCGACACGCACGATCTCCGCAGAGGGTTCGCCGAGGTCAAAACAAATTCGCACGGCGCCACAGCGAGAGCGCTTCGACACGCACGATCTCCGCAGAGGGTTCGCCGAGGTCAAGACAAATTCGCACGGCGCCACAGTGAGAGCGCTTCGACACGCACAATCTCCGCAGAGGGTTCGCCGGGGTCAGGACAAATTCGCACGGCGCCACAGCGAGAGCGCTTCGACACGCACGATCTCCGCATAGGGTTCGCCGAGGTTAAGACAAATTTACACGGCGCCACAGTGAGAGCGCTTCGACACGCACAATCTCCGCAGAGGGTTCGCCGGGGCCAAAACAAATTCGCACGGCGCCACAGCGAGAGCGCTTCGACACGCACAATCTCCGCAGAGGGTTCGCCGAGGTCAAGACAAATTCGCACGGCGCCACAGCGAGAGCGCTTCGACACGCACGCTCTCCGCAGAGGGTTCGCCGAGGTCAAGACAAATTCGCACGGCGCCACAGTGAGAGCGCTTGGACACGCACAATCTCAGCAGAGGGTTCGCCGGGGTCAAGACAAAGTCGCACGGCGCCACAGCGAGAGCGCTTCGACACGCACGATCTCCGCATCAGTCAATCACTCAATCAATGAATCAATCAATCAATCAATCAATCAATCCAGCAATCAATCAATCAATCAATCAATCAGTCAATCAATCAATGAATCAATCAAGCAACCAACCAATCTCGCACGTTAGATTGATTGATTGATTCATTGCCCCCCCGCCCCTCCCCTCCCAAACCTAGGCGTCTGAAGTTTATGATTGGCGGGGAGCGGTGACAAGGTTTTTCTTTTTTTTTTTGCAAACGCAAAGGTGCAGAGTTGCCTCCTTGTTCGGCTTGAAGGGGCAATTTGCAATATGTGCATGCACTCTAGACACGTCGAAGGGTGAACAAGTAACCCGTTGCATTTTGAAGTTTGCAGTTTGTTTCCCTTGGAACCGCAAAGCTGAAAGGCGCAAGCGACTTGCGTTTGCACGAATTGCGCGTGAGTTTCTTGTTGGAAAGCGTCCCGCACCGGGCGGGCGAAGTGCTCGCAGAAACCACCCACAACCAGCTGTAACTATTCACAGCCCAGAACAACAAACCATTAACCACCGTGACATATACCTCTGAGTGCCCCCGATAAGTACTTTGACTTGCCTAAGCCATCTGCAACCACACAGGCGCCAAAAGGTCAATCCGACTGCGCTCAGGGTCTCAGCATGCTGCTGGCTGACGCGACAGCGAAGACACTCAGTCGAACTTCTTCGGCTCAAACAGCACACGCGAAGCCCCACGTGCTGCCCGAGGACACACCGGCTTTACACGTTGCAAACGAGAGCGCCAGCGCTATCGTCCGCGTCGCGAGCGGAAGCGCCCAGGTGGTCGTCGTGTGCTACATACGATGCCTTTCGCAGGCCTTGAAAGTGGTCGTAGCCACTATAAACTGTACACATCATGCTCGTATACGAACGACAAGCTTTTGGTTCGCTGCGCGAATTCTTCGCAATGAGGCAAGAGCGCGCGTCATCGCAGTTGAACAAACGCATGCGCTTGGTAGATAGCACGTCCAAGACAAGCGCGCCTCGCAGGACAGGCCTTGCCTCCGAAAAACCACGATCTGCAGCCACTGGCTGCAGTGGCACCGCTGCGACTTCTGCCGGCTGCACTGGCGCCGCTGCAGCCTCAGCACCAGAGGCGTCACAGCACCTCGCTGCTTCTGTTTGCTGGCGCCTTCGCTTTGCTTTAGCAACAGGCTGGCTGCAGGTCTCATCCCCGCATGTAGGCGCAGCGTGTGCCGTGGGCGGGGCGCTCTGCCGCCCGCGGTAGGTGTCCCATGCCTGCTGGCACTCGTGCCGGGAATTGTGTTCGTGACTGAAGACAAGCAAGAGCAGCTCATTGTGAACCGGGTGGGCGCTGGACAAGCTGTCCTGCCACCTGGACACAATGTGAAACACTTGCTCTGCGGCCTCGGTGTCAACTCCACGAAGCACAGTATGGGCCTAGCAGCGCACGAGAAAGAACAGCAACAGGTCAAAGAACAGGTCACTTAGAAAAAACACCGCTTAGTTAAACAACGAGGCCTTGCCATATCCAATCGAGCAGTATAAGGGTTGACATCCGGCAGGAACCACGTAGAGGTAGGGTTTCGACAACCTTTGTGGCCTTGAAAATGGAGCTTATCGATGACCCACCTGAGGCCGGCCATCCTCCGCCATTCAGTCTCCTCCGGCTTCCCAGCACGCTGGCGACATTGCGTGCGCATGTGGCGGACCACTCCGCAAGCAAAGTCGTACACTACCCACGACACGTGGACCATGTACACAAGCACGTGCTGCACAAAGAGCAAGACCTGCGTGATCGACTCCGTGGAGTACGTTGGCCGCAGCCCCAAAATCTGGAGGCAGGGCGAAACCGCTATCAGCATGCCCGCGGACTTGCGGCCAATGCTTGGCTCAGGCGTGCCTCGACGGACATCGGCCCCGCACTCTTCCGCTGGCCTCTGCGCGGAAGCTGTCTTCTTAGGGAGTGAGTTGACCTCGTAGTGGCGCACGGCGCTGACGGGCAGGTCTGCTGCGTGAGCCCAAGCCCCGTCACCAGTGTCGTACTGCAAGACAATCGAAGAGCCCCGAACGACTTCACGATGGCTGGAGAGCTGCGGTCCACGGGGTGCTTCTTCGGCTGGAGGCTGGTGCTGCTGGCAATACTTGCTTCCACGCACCGGGCGGGCAGTGCAACCGCTCAAGAAGCCGGTGCGCAAGCTGGAGCTCCACACTAAGCCAGACCCCCGCTCGTTGCACACAGAGAGCTGCAAACTCCATTTGCCATCGACGACAATGACAGGCACTTCGTCAAAAAGCTTACACGAGTGCCGCACAGCCAAGTCCTGAAATGCCTTCCGAGCACTGTCGAGTAGAGACACAAAGTCGGTGGCGATGTGATGGGGTCTAAGGAACAGCTCCACTGTGTCAAACCCGGGCAGCGTGGCACACACGATCAGCTTCAACGCGCCCCACACCATGACCTTACTCAGTGACCACACAGCACGCCCATCCATCTATAGGAAGAACGCCTTGCTTGGGAGTGTAATTGACATGGATTGCGCGCGTGGGCGCACGTACGTACCCTTGCCAAAGAAAATGACCGACACGGCAAACAATTGTGAGAACACAAGGCTTTCCGAGACACTCATGAGGAACCTCCGAAGTAGCGGGGGTGAAACAACTGCAGCTGCGCGCTGGCGCGGAATTGCTTGACCTTCGGCCCTTTCCCTGAAGACACGTTCTTGCGACGCTCACACGTTGCTTTCTGAAATGGTCGTAGATAAAGATTGACAACCCTCTGCAATACCAGAAACAAATTGTTCAACACCTCAGCCCAGAAGGTCCCGGCCACAGGCCACAAGGCCTTGAACACAAACCCTATAGAAATCTAGCGTGGGCAACTAAGACCTGAACGGCTGCTTCCAAGAAGGCAACGAAGTGTTGTCTGGTTGCCATTTGCGTGTCGACCGCAGTGCTCTTCCAAAGAGTCATGTAGATGACGTACAGGGCCGTCCAGCTAACCCCGCCTCGAGCTGCCAAAAGTAGACACCACTGCAGCAGGCTAACCTCCCAGCACATGGATGGGGCTGCAAAGAACCAGCGAGCTCGGCCAAGTTCTTCTGTGCTGCCCTGCGTGGCGAAGACTTTGTGATGCCCTGCTGGAAACGTTCTCTCGTCATGCACGTGCCTCCAACACCACGGGCCTCCGTAGACAGCACCACATGTTGCGCACCGCAAAAAGACCACAATGCCGGTGCGAAGCTCGGTGGCGAAAGTCACACAAGTGCTTGGCCAGAGCTTCCATCGGAACAAAACGCCACCATCCAGCGAGCATGCGCCTTGGTTCCAAGCAGGCACGTACTCTGTGGGCAGCAGCAAAGCGTTCAGTCGGCTGCGCGGCTGCAGGCTGCTAGCAGGGGAAGCACGGTCTGTGATCCAGTGCGGGACATATAGCACGATGCGGTCTAGCACTGTCTGGATTTGTTCCTCAGTGAAGCTCTGCTGAAAGCGGGCGAGAAGCATTTCACGAGCAGCGCCTGGTCGAGCTGGAAGATCTGCTACATGGTAAACCAGGGCCAGCACACCCAAGTGCTCTAGCGCGAGCGGCGCCAGTAGCCGGTCCAGGGCCATATCACGTGGCGTGCAACAAAAGAAACGGAAAGCTACAGCTGAGGGTCTGGGCCACACAAAGAGAGTTTCTATCCCTGGCGGCTCACATGGCGGGCGCAAGCAAGAAGCACCAATGTCGCGCGCCACATTTTAGCTAGAAGGAAAGGCCTTGCTGTTGCTCGTGCCATCATGTGAATTATAAGCCGATCGCTGAGTTTGCGTTGCAAACATGGACACTGC